GACACGCGCGCGCGCGTGTGTATTGCCCATCCAACGTGAATGTAACGTGTAACGCCCTTCCTCCAACGCATAATCCGGTTATCCTAATTATTAGTTGGCTAGACGATAACATTGATTTGTCATTAACGGTAGTTGTCGCTTATGTGTACCTCTGTGGACCATCACGTGAACATATCGTATAATCGGTCCATGTAAAACTATTTTCAGATCCCAGGATATCTAGAGGAACGATTTCGAAGGAAAGAAAATTTGCTCCACACGTGATAACGACAACGTTATAGCACGGCAGAGCTTATTCTTGCGATCGTTCCGAGGTGCTGAAGACGCATTCGTTTGGCAGCTGGCTGCCATTGCACGTCCAACGCAACGCGCATCCATTTTACCTTCCAACTCCGAACAATTTAGAGACGAAATATCCGTAACACCGACCGACGAAAACTTTTGTACCAATTATGCGACCGGAAGATATCTTTTTCTTTCTGTTCTCTCTCTCTCTCTTTCTTTCTTTCTTTCTTTCTTTCTTTCTTTCTTTCTTTCTTTCTTTCTTTCTCATTTTTTTTCTGTTGTTGCAATACAAAACGTACGTTAGTACTGGCACGAAACGTACGCGCACTCGCCCATACCGTTTTGTATACCTCCGAGCTATTTCTGGGAAGGGAGGAATATTTTATTCGAATCGAGTATCACGGAAAAGCATCGCAAATCTAGTGTATGTGTATTAGTCAATCGCGTATTTTAATTTCCTTTGAAAATTTTCTGCGATCACCGAATGTCGCGGTTGAAACGAAGCCAGAGGCTTTTCATTGAAACTGGCCAAACAGAAACACGGAATGTCGCCATTTGCTTCTTCTTTTTAAAGATACTTGACCCGATTGTTTTGGAATACGTCCGATTCCATGTAATTTAATCGTTGTTAGCGTAAACGACGAGTCGATCCTTACAAGTATTTTTTTGAAAATACGTAGCGATCGTGCAACGACGTTTCATAGTTTTACAAAAGTGTTACTTTCTGTTTTTTCCTTACTTTTTTTCTTGATACCATGTACCGGCAATCATCGATTTATCGAGGTATTAGAGAGTAAGTAATCCCGAGACGTTAACGTGTCACACTTAAAAAGTTTGCCGCCTTACAATAATCTAGTTGTTGGTACAATGGAATAGGTTTCCAAAATACATTTGCTCAGATAGTCGAGCGATATAAAAGATGCTAGACAACATTTCGAAGTGTAATTTATTTCGAGAGAAATGTACATATTTTTTTAATGTCCTTCACATCAGAAGCAAATACATTTACTTAAAAAGAGTGTCTTGTATTTTAATACCAATTTCCGGTCAACGGTCGGACCAAATGTAAATAGTTCGTTTACGGCTGTAATTATTACTGTCGTATCGGTGAATCGAATTCGAATAATCTAAGATATATTCATTGGTAAATTCCGATAAGAGATAAACGGGAATACGCGCGTATATTCGCGGGTTACGCTAGAGTGCGCTGAAGTGCTATTGCCAACAACAATGTCAGCGTTGACGTTTTATCCGGAAGTTTATTATTCGTAAAATACGCGCGATGAAAAACATAATGAATGAAAATGATGGCTACGACAAATGAGTTTGGTCCCGATTCTGGTGGTAGAGTGAAGGTAAATTTATCTTGGAAGATTTTTATTGAACCTATTCTCGCTGAATCTTTCTAACCTGTACCTGTCTAAAACATACGGATATTTACATACGAACGGAAGCTGAAATTATTCAAATGTTCAGAGTATGACCAACTTTTCTATGATAAGCCGTAATCGAATTGTTTTCTAGGGTGTTACGATAGTAAAGCCCATAATATATGGTAATGTAGCTCGTTATTTTGGTAAGAAAAGGGAAGAGGATGGTCACACGCATCAATGGACTGTTTACGTCAAACCATATCACAATGAAGACATGTCCACGTACGTTAAGAAAGTTCATTTTAAATTACACGAAAGCTATAATAATCCAAATCGTATTATGACAAAGCCACCGTACGAGCTTACCGAAACTGGTTGGGGAGAATTTGAAATTGTCATTAAGATATACTTTCATGATCCAAATGAACGTCCTGTAAGCATATTTTTAATAATTTCATTTTGTTAATTTTTTAATTCCTGCAGGGAGTATTGTGTATTTAACAGGTAACTATATATCATATATTAAAACTATTTCAAACAACACCCGAGATACAGTTAGGCAAGAAAAGCTTAGTCTCTGAATTTTACGAGGAAATAGTATTTCAAGATCCAACAGCATTGATGCAGCATTTGCTGAATTCTAGCAGGCCTATAACTTTAGGTGTCTGGCGTCACAATACAGATTGTACGTATAGACATAATTATTTATGTTTAATGCGTTATCCACGCGTACGCTATATTTTGTTTAAACTGTACACAGTTGAAGCTAAAAAGGAATCCACGATAAAAGCAATAATGGAGGCTAGAAACAAAATAAGACTAGAGGTTATAGATCTCAAAGAAAAATTAACGTTGGCTAAAGAGACAATTGCAAAATTTAAGGAAGAAATTGCCAAGATTTCGAAAGCTGGTGGAGGTATATCTGTTGCATAAACAAGTACAAAACATTGTGACAATTTATAATGAACAATTAAAGTGTATATAGCCCTGTTGCAAGGTACTTAGAAATTTAATAAAACAACTGACATTAAATGCATACCCTTCCACTCATTTATGCACTAATAAATTCATTACATTCTTAACAGACGTTGTAGAAATGTATGGATATAATTTTGTACCAAATTGCAAAATTCAAAAAATAATGTACGAATAAAAACTATAATTCGATACTCTTGAACTCAATTGTTTACCCTATAAAGTAAATACGTAAAAAGATATTTATTCTAAGGCATTAATATTTTGCATTTATTAAACGGTATAGCTTCGAACAACAAGCTGAATATATCAGTGATTTTCATCTGCATCTCGTGAAATTCAAATTACGAATTCTTGTGACGAAGCATGCGCAACAAGAACTTAGGAACGAATGTTGGAAGGTCGTTAAATTTCTGCACAAATACTTCGCATCGGTAATTTCTTTAAACGCAGGTTATTTTGAATAATAATGCGTGCTTGTGGATGACGCAATCGATCATTTTTTAATGTTAATAAAAGTTATCGTTCTGCCTATTTATCACGACCTTGAACTGTCAAATGATGCTGTACGTGAAAAATAATGATCACGAGGAATCACATGGAATGATGCAAATCCGTGGAACTTAGTGGTAAGGAGATCAGTAATGTCAGAAATAGGAACAGTATTAGTGCTACATAGTTCGATCAACTGACTCCGCGCAAATTAGTATTCGGTAATTAGTCGTACTTACACGAAAGTTTCATTCTTACATATGGGAAATGAGCACAGCGCCGAGCGAAATCTCCGTTAAACCGTAAGCGTTTTCGTAGTTAATTCCGTTTGTATGTACCAGATTGTAGTTTTAGTTTGTTTCTAGTATATTTTCTAAGGATGCGTTCACACGATTGTGTTAAACAATTACGTAACAATTTCTAAAGTACTAACCGGCCGGCAATAATTAGCCAAATTCATAATTGGACCCAAGTGTGCGATACGTTACTCGTATTTCATTGAATCTGAATTTTTATCTAAATTTCCGCATATAGATCTATTTTAATTAGATTGAGAAAATGAACAGTCGAGTCGATTCAAATCTAAAATCCTTTCAAGTATGTGAGATGTAAATTCATTTAAAACGAGCCAATATACAATTGGTTCTCTTTATTTTTGTCATTAGCCCAGGTATTGAATTTGCGATTGGAGCATTAGCGGCAACAGGCGCTGGATTTTTCACAAATCCAATCGACGTGGTAAAAGTACGCCTACAGTTACAGGGAGAACTAGCAGCACGTAATTCGTATAAGAAAATATATAAAAATACTTTGCACGCAGCTTACTTAATAGGGAAACATGAAGGCGTGCTTGCTTTGCAAGCAGGTATCGTGCCAGCCCTTTATTTTCAAGTGGTGCTTAATGGAATACGGTTAGGTGTGTATAATACAGCAAAAAATCATGAGCTTATAACTAATCAGAAAGGAGACACTGCTATATTCAGCACTGTAATAGTAACTGGATTGTCTGGATGTATGGGAGCAGTCCTCGGTAGTCCATTTTACATGGTAACCAATTATCTTTACTTCTTCTTCGTATTACTTTGTACATAATTATATTTTGTAATCATTTTATATATCCAAAGAATCAAGCTATTGTTAACTTACAGTATATTGATATTTTAATGCAATAAGGTATTTTGCTAAGAACACCTCCATCGATTGTAGGGTAATTTGATGTCATAGACTATTTTTGCATTGTAACAGATTAAAACACAGTTACAATCACAATCAGCACAGTCCATAGCTGTAGGTCATCAGCATAATCATATGGGCACATGGTGCACTATTAAGTCTTTATGGAAAGAAGGTGGAATTGCTGCTTTGTATCGTGGTTGGTATGCTGGCGTACCACGCCTTTTCGTAGGCTCTGCTACACAATTAACTACATTCGGCTTAGCTGCAGATTGGCTACGTTCGCTAGACGTGAGTATCTCGTGCATTGCTCAGAGTATAAGGCATATTGGAAAGATTGTTATTTTTCCTAGATACTAACAGACCAGCCGATATTATTGACATTCGTGGCCTCTGCAATCGGTGGTAGTTGCGTGGCGCTTACGATACAGCCATTCGATGTTTTAGCGACAAGACTATACAATCAACGTAAGTCATTCTTCGTTTAATAATATCAGATTACTTTGATAATAGCGATAAAAACGAAATTCGATAAGTCTCGTATGTATTGTACGTGTAGGAACCGAAGTAGGCGGTAAAGGTGCATTGTACGGCGGTCTTGTGGACGCATTCTTAAAAATATTTCGAACGGAAGGAGTGACCGGTTTATATAAAGGGCTCGTTCCGACGTGGATGAGAATAGCGCCACACACTGTGCTATGTTTGGTATTTTATGAAAAGCTAGATCAATTATACAGTAGATTAAAAAATTAACACAACCAAAGATAGACTAATTGTATATGTTTATAGTTGTCCCAGAGATATACGGGAGTAAAAATGTTATGATTGTTAATAATATTCCATGTATCGTAAAGTGAAATAGAGTAAATTTCAATTTTAATTTTTTAGATAGACAGCGATGTGTTTCATAATTTAATAATTCATCCGTCATTTAAATAACGAGGTCCATAGGATCTCAAATTTACGACGGTACCTTAATGCGTTCGAAGTCATTAAAAATACTTAAAACAAATGTCTACCTTCCAACGTATCATTTGTTTTCTGGTATTTAAATAAATTAACGTTAAAGCAAACATTTACAGGCGGACTTGAATTAATCATGTGAATAAATTATGTCTTTGAAGTTTATAAATTCGCATGTTTAACAAACGAAATGATCTTATAAAGTCCATCATTGAAAAGTTTTCTATGTACATACTTATCTACGCACAGAAAGGTGTGATAGAAAAGTTCTTCGTGTTCCAGTTTCTTTAATTTAAGAAACAGTTCTGGAATTTGGTCTAGATCGAAAACCTTGACTTATGGATGCTGCAATGTCCATTGTACTCCTTCCTCTCGTTTCGGGTAAATATATCCTAACAGAGTAAATATTAAATTAGATCTTATTTTCTATGAACTATCTTATCATTTTATATGCGATCGATTACCTAACAGTTTGTCCCAAAATTATAAGAAATCCAGCAAATATTAAGAAAGTGTATGGGCCTATAAGAGTCTCAGCCGATGGGAACGTCATCCCTACTATGAAATTTCCACCCCAATTGAAAACACTTCCGAGTGCCATGGCTATTGGTCTAGGACCAACGTCGAATAATTCAGATCCAATGAAATACGGTATGGGACCAAGACCAATACCATAAAAAATGACATAAGCCATTATAGTTACAGTGCATATGACTGGCATAGACGAAGCTGCATGCTGTAAAAATATAGAACATTATTTCGCACGTAATCTTAAATACTCATCTGCAATTTACATTTAAAGTGTATCCTACTAGAAATTACTTTGATTTTAACTTACAATTAGTAGAATAGATATACATAGAATTATTAAACATCCGAAACACGAGTAAATACTGGTGAGCAGAACGCCTCTCCTGTTCAAGGATGACATCACTGGTACCGATACAAGAGCCATTATAATATTAACCACACCAGTTCCAAGAGTAGCAAGTTCTGCCCCAGTGTCACCAAGCCCAGCATTCAGAAATATAGAGTTCGAGTAGTAGAACACAACATTTATACCACTCATTTGTTGGCCAAATTGTATTAAACAAATTAGAAATAATGGAAGCTTTAAACTTGGATCTTTCAATATGCGTTTCAGTGTCCAAGGTTCGGCTGTTCCTTTTGCTTCTATTTCTTGTTGTAAATTGGCAATTTCCATGTGTAGAAGCATTATATCCATATTACGTAGCCTACTCAGTTCTAAAATATTAAGACAATTATTACAGCTAACATAATGCACGTTATTGTAAGAATACTAATAGATACCAACCATCTAGGGCCATTTGTTTCTCTTCTTTAATTATGAACAAATATTTTGGACTCTCAGGTAAAATTGTGATCGTGAGTACTAAAGCACATACACAAAGCGGAACAAACGCCGCTAACATATAATGCCAAGAATTGACAGTACCCAGAACTGTATTTAGTCCAGCGATTTGTCCGAGAAATACTCCACACGTGACTCCTAATTGACATAAAACTCCCACAGCACCTCTTAATCTAAGAGGAGCTATTTCTGCCATATACATTGGTACTATGCATGTAGCACAACCTCCAGAAAGACCTAAAAAATATGTATTATTAACATACTTTACGAACAACTATAACATACAGCATTTTGAAACCTACCCACAACTAATCGGCCAGCCAGGAGGAGTTCAATTGAATTTAATCTACGTATCAAAATGAACATTAAAGCTCCTAGAATACCAAATATATTTCCAACGCATAAAGTTTTTTTCCTTCCATATTTGTCTACTAACCAACTAGCAATAAAAGAACCAGTTACACCGCCGATAAGAAAAATCGAAACAACAGTAGACCAAATTATTTTCAGACTACTTTCGGAAACGTCCACGTCGTATCTTTCTTTAATACTTTCATTGCAAAATTGTTCTATTAACTGCAATTTGTATATTACCACTTATTAAATTTCTCATTTTTATGTGTCTAAATAACTGTGAAAATTGCAAAAAATGGTCCCACCACTGCGCATTCAGATTTTTCATTGTTTCTCTTTTGACTTTGATGATGGGACCATTTTTTATAATTCCTTGCAGAATATTAGCAGTCATACTAACATTGGCTGCATTGTTTACTACTCCTATATTAAATCCTGCTGGAAGCGCCGATCCTAGGCAACAGGTAACTCCAGCCAGTGCCAATGGAATGGTCCAGCCCCCTGGTTCCTATGAAATAAGAATTTTAATATTTCCTGTCTTGTATTTTATTTATATAGAAAACAAAAGCAATAATAAAATGAAAATGAATAATTAAATGTTTGCCGTGCACAAAGTCCTGCATTAAGTGATAGCAATATGAAGTACTATATATAAAAAAAGAAAGCACTTTTAACTTTTAAGTATATTAAACGACCTAAGATCTCTAACAATAACTCTGTTGAGAAACAAAAGAAGTGAAACTAGAAAATCATACCGCTTACTAAATCATGCAAATGATTAGTGATGTGCCCTAAAAGCTTGGATGGAACGGTGGAAAGACATGCAATTAAAACCACGCATCACTGGCATACCTACAAACAATTTACACCTTCGTATGAAGAAAAAGTGCAATTCTCTTTAATAATTTAAATACTGACAAGTACACATGTCAAAATCAACTAAGGAAATACAAAGAGTTTTTAAATTTGTAAATAATTTTGTTACAGACTCTAGTAGAATTTTATTAGAAAAAGATCCGATACACGGACAAGGAAAAATAATTTAACTTTTAGACAGATTTGTTTTTCCAAGTTCAGATTTGTCAACACATGCATGTAAACTGGTCGTATACAAGAAGAATATAGTCTGATAAGATAACAGTAGCCAACGTCAACACTTGAGCCAATTTCACTAAAATGATATGTTTATGCGTTCTATTAATTCGATTGCAACTATTTACACGACGACTAAGCTGGAAAAGATGATTTTGTACAGTAACATTGTACACATTGTACACATTGTACATATATACATACTAACATTTATGTATATATTACCCAACTGAAAAATCAACAAAAGGAAAAATAAAGAAACGCACGCGTTTGATGTATTATTAGAGTGCACTTACTGATCTTTCGTCTCGTTCATCGGAGGTGGATGGACGCTGATGTTCAGCGTCCGTGAGTACGGCGGCATGACTATCTGTAATTACAACGAACAATTACTTTCCTAGATCTATTGTTTGTTGATAAAACAAGTGATACCGTATTTGCATTGGTATCGATGCGTAAGGAAATAGGACCGTTACAAACGAGTTTGAACGCACGTTGTTTAACAGTGAATATCTTTTCAGAGGAAAAATATCGCATTCGTCAAAGGTGTCATGATAAAGTGAACGATAAAAAATTAAAAATTAATAAAAAATTCTCGATGAATATTACCTAACGACATGCTTCGGTTCGTGCAGCATGCGTTGCTGACACAGCGACGCCAGAACGATAAATATGGCATTAGAAGAAAGTAACATCTAGCGGCAACACGGAAACGTTAGCAGGGGCTTGGTTAGTTAGACCACGCAAATTCAAGTTGGCGATTATAGTCGCTCTCGTTATGCAAATATTGGAAGACGTGAATCACGGTGTATGTAGCGGGATTCTGCATATATACTTGGTTAGAAGCGATTTAGCAAAATCGCACGTGCCTGCATTGTACACCACTCGCAGCTAAAAGTCCACGGAACGCGCCAGGTAAAGTGTTACGACTGCAATGCATTCGAGAATGCCGAGGGCTACCGAGTTCCACAGTAATGACTGGTCATTCTTTGCAGTCGAGATCAGGAACTACATACATACTACTCTTCGTTAACGTTTTTATTCATTTAGTCTTATAATTTGTTTTTTTCTGTTAATTATCCTTATCAGAATAATTCTTGTTTTATTTTTCATAATATTCCAAGGCCGAAATAAAAATTCTACGTTCACGGTTAGATTAATATTAAAAGGGATATTTTAAATGAAAATTGAAGAAAGGAATTCATTCGTTTTCCTTCGTGGCAGAAATATGTCGCTGTCGCGTGGAATAAATGGGACTTTATCGTCGTACCACTGAATCACCTATCCCGTGGAATGTACTGCGCTCGCAGTGATCGGCAGCAAATGCATAACTTTTTGTACATTCAAGGGACTTTGAATCGTTTCCGTAATATCTAATACAATGAATAATAAGCATCGACGCGATTCCGTTCGGACTCCGTGAACACGGCGTACACGATCTTCCGGATGCAGCTAATTGTTCTATTCGAGTGCCTTCGAAATTTGATTAGAAATTTCACTGATGTAAATAGATTATCAATCAACTTCCGTACATAGTAATCGCATTAATCTCAGACTGAGACCTTGAGTCGCTGTTCGACGCGTGGGCGACGACGTTTCCGTGGAATAATTTTGCGATAAAACGACGCCTGAAAAGGGGATGCATTCGAGATTACAGGTTCCTTTGAACACGTGACCGTACGTTGTTGACAGGTTTCGCGCGGATTAAATAATTGAAAGCCGCCGCCCGCCGCGCGTTACAGAGACGTTACTTTCACGTTACAAAGAACACTGATCACAGAAGTATCATCCTGAACGTTTTTACCAGTCGAGTCGCCATACACGACGACGCCAGTAGCACGCCGTGCGGTTCACCGTGCCGCTATCGGTAACGCTTACGACAGTGGATGCAACAACAACAACAACAACAACAACAACAACAACAACGACGACGACGACGACGACGACGACGATGATGACGATAATAATAATAGTAACCATAAAAATAAGTCGAGACGCGCCTGCTTGTTGATCGACGAGGAAATTTATCGATTGGTCTTCGACCGTCAACATTCGAGTTTCTTTCGATCGATTTTTTCAAAAGCCTCGCCCGATTCGTTGTACCGGGTTTAAGAACGCGACCCCCCTAAGCTGATAATCGTTCGCGATAAGCCGAATAACGAGATCATCGTGTCTGGAAGATATACGTTCCAGATAATATTTAAGAGAGAAGAGCAAGGATATTCGAAGGTGACGAGAATAGGTTGTAGCCTGTGGAATCGTTAGACAGATACGTACCATCGTTTCCGAAGGTTAACGGTAATGGGAAGCGGAACGGAAGGAAGCTGAACGTCGAGCGCGCGCATCGTCCTTTTCAAATCGAACATCGTTTCTCGACTTAACTAATGTATCGTGAACGACACTCGTCGATTCTCGTTTACGTACCTTCGTAGTCGAGCATGTCCTCGATCCGTCGATGCAACACAGGCGTGCCGTGATCTAAGCAAGGAAACAGAGTTTTTAACAGTGACCTGTGCGAAAGTCAACGAAGATCGAGCGTCGGTCGCGTTGTACCGATCGGTGTGACGTTCGTTATCGGTTCGAGCACTGAAAATAATAGAGCGACCAATAACCTCGAGTTCCCGCCAATGCGAATACCTTTAATCGGTCAACCGTGAAATTCGAGAATCCGACCACTTCGAAATGTAAGCTATCGCATTTAGGTTTTAAGGTTGAACACAGTGAACCTATCGTTCCTACCGTTGGAAAAGAAACGCGTTTCGATTTTCTCTTTGTTTATGATTGTTCTTTGCGATCGAGGAAAGCACAGGACAACGAACCGAACTGTCGGTCGTGTAGACGGCGACTCTCGCGTCGAAACGTCCAACGATAGTTTGTTTCTCTTGGAAATTCTCTACTGTTCGAGGTTCGCTTTGAAATTCTGTTGCGAGTCCCTGTTACCTACTTACTTCTTCTTCGATTGAACCGGATGCCTGGAATCGTACACGAGCGACCGCTCGGTCGCGTTGCTTACCAGCGACTAAGTTGCTCGCGCGAGTACAGTGCTAGCGCGAACGATTCCGAGTCGCTTGGCCCCCACTTTCCCTTACCGTCGGTGCACAGCGAGTAAATACCACACCAGCTGTTTCTCACCGAGGAACCTAGCATCGCGCGTATCGGATTCTCTCGGACTAATTAATTCTAACCTTGGCTGATTACCGCCGCGGGAAGTTCGCGCGAAACAGATCAGTTTCGCGAATAATCTGATCATCGGGGAAATCGATAATTCCACTGTCCGCTATTATCTAGACGATCGCTGTTATCTAGACGATCGCTGTTATCTACACGATCGCTGTTATCTACACGATCGATTTCGAATAAATATCGATAATCGTCGATTAATAATAATCGCGCGCAACCGCCACGATCTATTATTAATATTCGAATAACGATCGACGTTGCCCGAGCAAAGTTACACGGTAACCGATGGTTAATCGATCGTTAATATTATCGTAATTCGACGATAATCAACGGTAATAGTAATAAAAAGGAGAAACCGTTTCTCACTGGACGCAGGCAAAGGATAATAACGACTCTCTCTGTTGTTCTGCGACCTCGCGTTGCATTGTTTATTGTATTTTCAGAGATCCACCGAGAAAAAATGTCTTCTCGAGTAACGCGATGCACGGATCGTACGGAGAAGCAAATGATAAGAGGGGGATGCATGCGCGTCACTTGGAAGAGGATTTTTACTATTTTACTTCGGACACTGCGGCCGTTCACGAATAGATATGTTTACCATCGTGTGTATCGACGCGCATCCGCGCGCGTGCTATCTACTTTTCTAGCAGATAATGGATTTTTCATCCAAATGAACTTGAGGCATACCATTCACGTAATTGGCAACTGCATCGCGATGAATCGAACAATTGTACAATATTTTATCTCGCGATTCAGCGATGCGCCATACCACCGGCAAGCTCGTTTGCATGAAAGAAAGAATAAAACTCATCGGAATAAATTTGCTCGTTTGCAGGTCCAAGCGCGGCGTGTCTCGACTGTCGATCGATTGCGTATCCTTAAGCGTTCGACTCCAATAAGAATGTCACCTTTAACCTGTTGCCGTGCTCCGACGTTTTCTCGGCACTTTATCAAACTCGAAGTCGGCCGTCGAAACTTCTCCGAATCTCGCGAGTCCTTTCTACGTTTATTTTTACATAAGCTTGAACCTGCAGGATCATCGGTGGCCGATCGATTGTCGCTACGCGATCAACCCGAGTAGACCCGCCGAGTAATTGCCAAGCGGGCTTTCGAAAATGTTACGGTGAGTTTTAGTCGTCGAGCTTATGGGAGAGTCTTCCGACTTTCCGAGTTTGTCGAGATCCGTGAAAGTGGAACGCAATGTCAACGAGCGCTCAGCGATGATCCGTCGAGTACCGGTGCGTATCTGTTACGGCGGATAGCGGCATCAAGTGCAGTTGATTTTGGGCTGCCGCTTTCCTCCGACCTTCAGGCTCAACGCCGTCAGCAAAGGGTATCTGCCGCAGCCGCACTTGTTGCCGAAGTCGTCCATGTCCAATGACCACAGCATCACTCCACCCAGGTGCAGTTCGTTGGCCAGCTCGGCCTAGCGGAAAAGAGGGTTCGTTGAGTCTCATCGAGCTCCATTTTCGAGTTCCAATCGTTCCACGATCAACCAGTTTCGAAAACTAGTCTACTTGTTCGAGTACATTTCTGATGGAGTACTACCACCACTGCTATAACTATACGTGCTTATTAAGGAGACGAAGAAGGAGAGGAGAGAAAGAAGGAAAGGCAACAGAGAAAACCGGTTGAGATCGGCGAACCTTTGAACGACGATTACCTTTCGCAGCACGATGGACGCGTCGTCGTAACTGACCCATTGGTTCCCCTTCGTCGCGTACGGGCCTGCGAACCCCGTCGGGTCCTTAACCGCGGACCATCCCCTGTTCATCGTGTCCTCGCATATCTGAAAGAGCGTGTCCAACGAAACGGATCAACTACGATGTCGCGTCGTCGCTAATTGAAATTGACGAATCGTGGCCGTACCTCAAAGTAGGCAAGAATACCGGCCGATTTGGTGAATTCGCCGGGCTGGCCGGGACCAGACGCCGCCGCGTTCAGACCCGGCTGCTCTTCGCCGGCTGCCGGGCTCTCGGCCAACGTGTAACTCTGACCGTAGCTCGGCACGCCCATCACGAGTTTGCTGGCCGGTACACCCTGCTGGATCCAATAGGCGATTGAAAAGTTCACGTTCGCCTGATGCATTCGATCCTCCGGATCACGATAGAGTGGCGCGGTGTGGCCGGTTTTAGGCTCCCAGGGGCCGTGGTAATCGTAGCTCATCACGCCGATCCAGTCGAGGTGCTCGACCAAGGCTGGCGCGTCGTAGGCGACGTCGATCACCTGTTTACCCGCGGAAACGGCCGCTGAGAGGAGCAAACCTTTCGGTTCGAACGCCGCGTTTAATTCCTTCAGCAACAGAGTGAAATCTTTGCGATCGCTGGACGGACCGCGACTGCAGTCGACCTGGAAGCCGGCGAAAATGCAACCGATTGTAGGGAGTAGTATCAGCGAAACTAGTAGAAACTACTAGAAACTAGTAGAAACTACTAGAAACTACTAGAAACTACTAGAAACTACTAGGCGTCTATTTCCCGCTTACCTGCCAGCACAAAGGGTACTCCCAGACAAGATTGAGGCCGTCGAATCCGTTCGCCTCCAGGTACCGGGCCGCGTGTCGCGCGAACTTCTCTCGCTCCGTCGAGCTGTGCGCCAGTGAGCTGTACTTCCCGTCCTTGGATTCGCTCCAGCCTCCCAAGCCTAGCAGAACCTGCAGCCCGGTTGTTTTCTTCATGTTCATCAGTCTGTCGAGAAACTTCTTCTGCAGGCTGCCCTGGACGTTCTGTATCGTCAACCGTTCCGGGTGGAGCGAGAACAGGCCGTAAACGACGTGCGTGCATAAACCGGGTTCGATGTCCTCCGGCGAGAACTCTCCCCTTCCCGTTCGCTTGAGAGCCCATCTCATCAGGTAACAGACCACCTTCTTCTCGTCCTTCTGGGTTTTCCTCAAGGTCAGAAACTCGTTTCTCTGCGGATCGAAGTATACGTTATTAGAGAAACGTTCCAAAGAGACTCGTGTTATCCTCGATCCCGCATATTCCTTTTACGAGGAGGATGGCTCACCTGCCGCTGGGTGTCCGCGCACTTGGTGTTCTCTGGCCAGTCGCAGCGATCCTCGTTCCAGTAGAGGCCGGAAGGGCACGAGTGCTCGGTCAGTCTGCCGAAATTACACAAGTAGTACTTGCTGCAATCTTTGCTATGCGGGATGAACAATCGGCCATGGCAGTCCTCGGGCGGTGAAATCGCCGGTCGTTCGTCCACTTCTATTTCCACGGCGTCGTCGACGTCCTCGGTGGAGAGGGTTGTCGTTCTCATCGTCGTCGTCGTCGTCGTCGTCGTTGTCGATGTCGACGCGGGTTCCCATCCCCAGGTTGGCTGGCTAGCAGTCGTTGACTCCTCGACCGATTCACCCGCGTCGATCGTCGTCGGGTCTGATTGAAAGATTTTATAGGTCTATTTTTAGTAGATTGGAGCGACTCGTTAAATCGATTTGTTGGGTCGGGAGACCCGAGACGTTCGACGGTCACGCGTCGTCCGAGCTTACCAGTGGTGACCGGACACAGCGGCCCTTTCGGATAGTCTCTGAGCACTCGGTTCATTGTCCGGAGAAGGGGGCTCGGCTCGCAGCCGCATCTGTTCTTAAAGTCGTCCAAGTCGAGAGCCCATACCATACCGCCGGCTAGGCCCAGGTCTCGTATCAACTCCGATTTCAGCTTGATCTGCCTCGCGTCGTCGAAACTGACCCACTGATCGCCCTTGTACGCGTACGGACCGATTCGCCTCTCCTTGTCCTGGACCACGGTCCAGCCCTTCGTCAGGGTCCTCTCGCAAATCTGAAAATATTCGGATCAGCCCGTTGTTCCGGTAAACGGAGCGCGATCGTCGAACAGGCGCGTCGTTACCTCGTAATAGGACAAGAAACCCCTGGCTCTCGTCGCCTCGCCAGCCTCGCCGCCGCCGTAAGTCGGAGCGTTCAAGCCTCTGTGACTTCTCTCGGCCAGGGAGAACGATTGACCGTACAGAGGAGCGCCCATAATCAGTTTCTCCGGTGGAGCGCCTTTCTCCATCCAGTAGTGAATCGAAAAGTTCTGCGAGAAGCAACGAGGAACGCGGCGTGACACGATAGTAGTCGCGCGCTTAAGATCAAGCGAAGCTTACCGCGTTAAAGGACGGCTCCCAATCGTTGGGCAGTTGGTACAGAGGTGCCACGTGACCAGTTTTCTTGTCCCATTGACCGTGATAATCGTACGTCATCACGGATATCCAATCCATGTACTTCGCCAAGGTGGGCACGTCGTAGCCCTCGTCGATGACGCGCTTGCTCGGCGAAACTGCCGCGGACAACAGCAACCCTTTCGGCCGGAACGCTTCGCTCAGCTCTCTGACCAAACTGGCGAACCCCTCCTTGTCCGAAGCTGGTCCCTTTCTGCAGTCCACCTACGATTTCCTTCGCGTAAATACTAGTTCGTCGCCGTCGGAATTTCTCGAAGAGAAAGAAAAAGATCCGTTCCGAAACCGCTCGTTCCAGGATCGTACAGTGAAAGGTTCGGGGCGAATCGCCCTACCGTACCTGCCAGCACACGGGATACTCCCAATCCAAGTCCAACCCGTCGAACTCGTACTTATCGATGAACGCTAGAACGTTCTCTACGAATCGACGCCTGGCGGACGGCGAATTCACCAGACGACTGTACTTGTCGCCCGCCGAGTCGTTCCAGCCACCGATGGCGACCAACACCTTCACCCCTTTCGCCTTCAACGCTACCACCCTCTCGTAGAACTCTGCGAAGAATGTTCCCGAACCGTTAACCAAACCGGCGGAGGTCTCGGTCGACGAAGCCGCAACGAGAAACTCGACGATTGCTTACTGTTGTCTATGTCGGCCCACGGGTCGTGCGACTTGATTATTAGTTGCGACCCGTCGAGAACAGCGAAACCGTAAAGAACGTGGGTGCACAGATCCGTGTCCACGTCTTCCGGCAGGAATTTCCCACCTTCTTGTCGGTACCACGCCCAATTCGTGAAGTAACAGATCACTTTGAACCGATCGTCCGACAGGTGATCCCTCGACGTCGACGAGGACGACGACGGGACTGCGACGGCCGCAGTGGTAGTGGACGGCGTCGACGTTGGCCTGGGGTCCAAGTCTGCTTCGTTTATCGGAGGTCTCTCCGCTGCGAATAAGAAAGATGCGTGAAACCGACCGATCGACCACGACTAACCACGATTCTTGCGGCCACGTTAACAAATAATTAATTAATAGATAATTCTTCGAGCAATTACGTTCTTCCTCCTGGGGAGCGTCGGCCAACATTCTCTGAAGAGAGTGCATCAGCGGATGCTGTCCTTGACCGCAGCGGCCTCGAAAATCGTCGAGATCCAGGGCCCAAACCATCCCACCGCCTAGACCCATGTCCCTGATGAACTGCGCCTTTCGTCGGATCATCTCCGCGTCGTCGAAGCCGACCCATTGGCTGCCCTTGTAAGCGTACGGGCCCATTCTGTGCTCCGCGTCTTGGACAACGGCCCACCCGCGATTTCGTACTCTGTCGCAGATCTCGTAGTACGACAAGAAGCCGGCCGCTTTGGTGAATTCTCCCGCCTGGCCGGCGCTCGCGGGAACGTTCAGTCCCGTCCCCGTGGTGAGATCGTTGATGGAGAACGTCTGCCCGTACAGCGGTATTCCTGCGATTCAACGTACATTCGTCGGAGAGTCGTTAAGAACGAAACGAAGCTTCGTCGATCTTTGGCGGACAGAGGGGAACGCGAGGGGAACGAGTGCAAGTAATCATGATGAGTACCCATGACGATGTTACGACGAGGCGCGCCCTTCGAAATCCAATAGTTGATCGAGTAATTCGCGTTGAAGTAGTAGTAATCGTCCTGCGGGTGATAGTAAAGCGGTGCCACGTGGCCGGTTTTCTTGTCCCATTGACCGTGGAAATCGTAGGTCATCACGGCGATCCAGTCCAAGTACTTGGCCAGCGCCGGCACGTCGTAGCCTTCGTCGATCACCTTCTTGCTCGGCGAAACGGCGGCGGAGAGCAGCAGCCCTTTCGGCTTCAGCTCGTTGCTCAGTTCCTCCAGCAAGTCCGCGAATCCCTGCTTATCGGAGGCTGGACCCTTCTTGCAGTCGACCTGCGACGACCACGCGTTCAGTCCTAACTTTGCAAGTTAGGTCCTCGAGAGACCTTTTAGATATATTCTACTGCTACATCATTAACGCTGAACCCGCGATAGACCCCCTTATACTGACTTGCCAGCAAACCGGATACTCCCAGTCCAAGTCTAGCCCGTCGAAGTCGTACTTATCGAGGAACCGGATAGCGTGGGCGATGAACTTCTTCCTGGCGGCTGGACTGTTCACCAGACGGCTGTACTTGTCGCCGGCGGAATCGTTCCATCCGCCTAGCGCGAGCAGCACCTTCAGCCCTCGTTTCTTGTAAGCGACCACGCGCTCGTAGAAATCTGTTCGAAAGGAGAACACAATCGAATGTCGCGGCTGATTATCTGTAAGCTCTCGAGAACGCTACTACCGTGCTACACCGATAGCCACTGCAAACACTCGACTTTCACTCGACAAGCAATTTCAATGACTATCGTCGCACGGTCTTGCCCTTCGGACTTGCAAGCCCACGCAGCGGTTCACTCTGTGAACAGCTATGGAAGCTACACACGCTTGGAAGACAGGATACTGTATCTATTTAACAATTATTTACGAGGCAAGCGATCACGTACTGTTATCGTAGTCGGCCCATGAATCGTGGGCTTTGATAGTGAGCTCCGAGTAGTCGAGTACGGCGAATCCGTAGACGATGTGCGTGCAGAGCGTGTGGTCGATGTTTTCGGGGACGTAGCGGCCGATGCCTCTCCTGTACCAGGCCCAGTTCGTGAAGTAGCAGACGAGCTGTGCAACGCGTGACGGGTTCGTTAGTTTTCAAAGAAAGTTCTCCGAGAAAATAGTAATGACGCATTGCTGGTTCTCTGTTACTTTGTAGTATCCGGAGAGCGGCGAGATTTTCTCAGGGTCCACCGTTGCAGGGGACAGAGTGGTCGTGGAGGTGCTAGGTTCCCAAGGTTTCACCGTACTCGCGGAGCTGGACGCGTCGTCCGGCCTGTTACCGGGTTCCTGGTCGGGTTCTTCCCCGGACTCGTCGATCCGACAGTTGGCTCGAGCAGGCCAGTCGCATATCCGAGTATTCTTGTTGAAGTGCAGACCCGGAGCGCAATGAAAGACTTCGTGGCGACCCCACAGGCAAGCCTGGTAGCTTTCGCAGTCCCCCGGTACACTGGTGTAGCTGCCCGGAATGCACGGCTGAAGGCAATCGGAATATTTAGGATACATTACATTTATCGCATATTAAATTGCAATCGCTATTAACCCTTTGCACTCGAGAGGCGACTCAAGTGGGTCGATGTTTCTAACGTTACATTACGAATACACGCGCGAAGAGTTACTCACGGTCGATTTAGCGCCACCGGAGATCAACGCGGCGCTCTTTGTCGGTTTCTCGATGCAAGGATTCTTGAACGCCCAGTCGCACATACTCCTCTCGTTGTTCCAGTTCAAGCCTGGACCGCACTGTTGCGTCACGAGGTTCCCGTTCACGCAGACCAGGAAATTCGTGCAGGAATTCGGATACGCGTAATACCGGCCGTGCTCGCAGCTCTTCTCGGGGATTTCGGTCGAACTCTCCGTGACGATTGGTTCTCGCGTGGTGGTTCGCTGGGTGGTGCTCCTCGAAGTGGACCAAGATGAAAATTCGGTGGTGCTCCTCGACGTGGTGCTCCTCGACGTGGTGATCCATGGCGACTTTGAAGTCGAAGAGGCTGAAGGAAGAAAGCGCGGCACAGTTTAAACGCTCCGTGGATCGGTCGATAAAATTCATTGGAAAATTAGAGCGGTACGACTACTGCTTGTGCAGATTCAAACAAATTTCAAGGGCGGTATTTGAACGCGTGACAAGAACAGGGAAAAGATTCTGACCGAAAGAGCAGAGCTAAAGAGTGTTTAGACTCGTTGACGAGTCCCGGTAATTGTTATATACTTCTAGCGAGCGGACGAGAAAGTTTGGACGCTTCAGCCAAGCTAGAGCCGATCCATATCAAAAGGAAAACGGCCCGCGCCGAACGGAACGGTGTCATCTTACGATTAGAAGCGGGGACACCGCGCGGAATGCCCGGGGTCTCGTATTGTCGCGCGCCGACTGATTGATTCGCAGAAAGAAGATGCCACTGTAACCTTTGCTCGAAGGCGTTGCTTACAAAACCGGCGGAAAAATGTGCGCAGGAGTGAGCGCATGGTAAACAGGTTTGCGGTAATCGACAGTCGGCCGTTCAAACGCGTTGCAAACTATTGTACTTGAGCGGATGATGCGCGGTCGAACGAGAGGACGCGAGATGACGGGACAGCTCTCGGTTACAGCATTCTTCGCGAACGCGGGACGTTTATACGTCTATACGTCCGCGTAGGAGACGCGTGCTTTCAGAGATTTCGCTTGACTAAACAGGAGAACGGCGCTTCGTCGAACAACAAGTATTATGATCGCGGCGGTCGATCGATTCTGTAAACGATCGTTTCGATCGGATGTCGGATAAGATAGCGTCGGATAAGATAAGCGCAACACCGGCAGTCTTACCGGTATTATTCGTTTGACATTTCGCCGCCGCCGGCCAGTCGCAGATTCCTCGGCCGGCGTCCCAGTGCAGCCCGGGAGCGCATTGTTCGCGTCGCAACTCCCCGAGCACGCATCTAAAGTAGCTGTCGCAGTTGACGGGATCCGCGGTGTATTCTCCGGTGTTGCACGGTGTTTCAGGCTTGGACACCTCCCACGGTGACTCCGTGCCCTCCGTGACTTCCACTGGCGTCTGTTCGCTGGTTGCTCTAGAAATATTTCATTAAAAGACGCGTGCACGCGGGCTGCTCCCGCCTTATCGGAGCGAGTTGCTTATGGAATACTCTTTCCTTATGCGTATGTTTGACCTATTCACTATTCGTTCTACCTATTGGAAACTTCAACGCTACGGTTTCTACAGGAGACTCCGAGACCGACCGATTGCGTTCATTATTACACGCGTTCCATATTATGAGCGAACAACTCGCTCTGTTATTGTTGAAAGGCGAGATTAAACGAGCATTAAACTTTTCACGATGACGTACTTGCTGGTGGTCCACGTCCAAGACGCGTTCTGCGAAGCTGTACCGCTCTGAGTGGTGGAGTCCGGTGGTTTGCTCGGTTTCGGAGTCCAGGATGGCCAGGTGGTACCTTGAGTAGTTGCGCTGGGTTTGGAGGACCAGCTCGGCCAGGTGGTTCGTTGGGTAGTCGAGGTCGTCTCCGGCGACCAAGCGGGCCAGCTCGGCTTGTTCATCGGCGTCGTCGGTCGCGGAGTCTCTTCCACGGCGTCGCTGTGAGTGGTCAGGGTCGGAGGGTGCGGCGTGGTCGGCTCGATCGGTCGTCGGCAGTCCTCCGTAGGTTTACCCTTGAGACGTCCTGCGAAAGCGAGGAGAACGATAAATTTCCCGTTACCGTCGTTACCGTCGTTCCCGTCGTCGGTTCGACTTCAAAGATCGATCTAGCTACCCAACGCCCGATTGATGGTTCTCAACAGGTGGAACGATTCGACGCAGCAACGGTTCGAGAAGTCGTCCAAGTCGATGGTCCAGAGGCTGGCGCCGCCGTAGCCGCTCTGCAGGATGTGCTGTCCCTTGGCGAACACGCTCTCTTGGTCCTCGTAGCCGACCCACTGGTCCTTGTGATAGGCGCTGGGCCCCGGCCCGTGTTTCCATCCCTTGTTCTTCAGTCTGTCGCAGATCTCGTAGTACGCCAGTATACCGGGCTGCCTGGTGAATTCTCCGGAGGCTCCGGGTCCCGTGGCGGGTTCGCCCAGACCGGTTAATTCCTCGCTGGACAGCCGATAAACTTGACCGTAGAACGGTATGCCCATCAGAAGGTTCGACTTCTTCGCGCCTCGCTGGACCAGATACTCCATCGTGGAATTCTGAAAGGTTTCCAACGTTGATCCTTCTTTTCCCTGAAATTGCTCATGCTCGACACAACACTGTCTCGGGACAACTCACGACATTGTAGAAAGGATTGCTGTCGACGGGGCTGCCGAACAGGGGGGACAAGTGTCCCGTCTTCGACTCCCAAGCGCCGTGATAGTCGTAGGTCATCACCGTGACGAAGTCCACGGCGTCGGAGATCTCCCGCACCTCGTACGCCCTGTCGATCACCTCCTTGTACCCGGACAGAGCAACGGCCAACGCGAGTCTGGGCTGCTGCTGCTCGAACTCGTGCTTCAGCTCGCGAACGAGCTTGGTGAAATTCGGCTTGTCGGTGTCCGGCCCTTTCCTGCAGTCGCTCTGCCAGCACTTCGGGTAGTTCCACTCGAACGAGAGGCCGTCGAACTTGTGTTTGCGCAGAAAGTTCACCGCCGCGACGACGAACTTGCGGCGACCGGCCGCGCTGCTTATCAGCCGGGAATATTTGTCGCCAGCGCTGTCCGTCCACCCGCCGATTGCCAGCAGTATTTTCGGTCCGTCGATCTTCGTCAGTCGTTCGTAGAGATCTGCGAGAGTTGCGGTAACATGCGGATTAGAACATCGATTAGACTAAAACTCGCGGTAACGTCGAATCGAATACGACTCTCGTCGTTTCTTATATCAATTACTGTGTTCTATGTCCGCCCAAGGATCGAACGTCTGAATCATCAGAGTGTCCGGATTCAGTCCGGCAAAAGCGTAGATCACTTCGGTGCAGAGACGCGGGTCTATGCGCTCCGGAACGAACGTTCCTTCCCCTTTGCGGTACAGGGACCAAGAGGTTACGTAGCAGACTACTCGCGGCCCTTTGTTGCTCGATATCTCGAAATGCTGCGGCCCTGTTTCCTGAACCGGCGAGTCCGTTTCGGAATCCTTGTCCCGAATCCGATGGTTCTGGCCAGGTGTACAGACCACTGAAGTCGCTTTCGCGCATCGACCCTCCTTGGCGTCGAAGAATCTCCCGTATCCACAAGTGCCGTGGTATTTCATACCTGAACAGGGCAACGTTTCACGGGATGATCGTACCCTCGATTCTCTTTACAATTTAACGATGGATTCGAGCATGCACGGATCTCTTACCATCGTGACAAGAATAGAATCCGGAACAGTTGTCGGGGTCGCCGGAGAGGCCGTCGACGGAACACTTGTTCAGCTGTGTCTGGTCGTAAAACCCTATAGATTCGGTGGCAGCGTTCAGAATGGGCCACGATCCTCCGCATATACCCTAACAAAGACAGAGAATGGCAGACGTGCGAGGAATAATTCCGTAATCGAGTGGAGAGCCCCTTAACAGAGGCAATTTCATCTTTCGTACCTGGAAATCGTCGAGATCCAGGGAGCACACGGAAACTCCGCCGAGCCCAGCCGATCGCGCGTAAGCAACTTTAATCTTGACCGCCAGAGAATCCTCGTAGCCTACCCACTGATCTCCACGCTTTATGTAAGGTCCTTCCTCGTCCCTTCCGGAGATCCATTGCTCGTTCTCCAATTTCTCGCAGACCTTGAATCAATCGCGGAACAGATGAAACACCTTTTCTCCACCTGTATCAAAATTTCGATGCAACGTTTCACGCTAGATGCACGGAACTGGTTGAACAATTACTTCGTAATAGGCGAGTCTTCCGTTCGACTGCTTGGTATAGATATCCTCGTTCCCGGGGCCGACGATCGGTGCGCCGGCGTCGGTCAGGTTCCCGAATTGAAGGGTGTACCCTTGCCCGAACGCGGGCAGGCCCAGGATCACCTTGGATTTCTGATCGCGCGGTATACGATCGAGCCATTTGTTCGTCACACGGAACACGTAATTCAACGGGGCCGGATGAAGGGCCAATTTCTCCCTGCGGTGCAGTGGACTGTCCCGCCAAGCTCTGAAAAGAAGCAGATCGACGGCAGAGACGATCTCCGGGTCCACCGGATCCGCCGGCCTCTGCGCCACCGCTAGGATGTACCGGTGGGCGGCAAGGGTGTTTCTGAGAGCTCTCAGAAGCGACTTGAGACCGTTCGCATTCTCCGAGGAGCTTTCCCAGTCGATCTCCACACCGTCGAAGCCGTGGTTCTCGAGGAACCGCAGAATGGATTTGGCGAGCCTCTCGCAGTGCAGCGCGCAGTTGCCCTTCACCACCTCGGCGAACAGTTTTCCTCTGTTTGCCGGTGCTATCGAAACGAGGACTCGCAGCGCCGGGTCCCGCGTCCGATGTCCCGTTACAGCTTTGTATCCACCTGTCGGAATTGCTCGAATAAATTAACGGAACTTCGGCCGACGCCGGACGACAATTGCGCTCGTCACCTTTGATCTCGTCGTACTCGGGGTCTCTCGACACCACCACCAGCTTCTCGGGGTCTGCGAAGACGGATCGGTATTAGATCTATTAGAAATCGGAGCACCGGACTGTAATTCCGACTGTAATTCCGACTGTAATTCCGACTGTAATTCTACGCGAGATAACTCCACGAGTTCGTTGCAGCTTAACCCTCGTTCCTCGATTCCTAACTCATTAAAAGCTAATCGCGGTTCGATACCTATGGTGGCCGCAGTGTACACCAAATGGGAACACTTGTGATCCGGGACAGACTGCGGAAACAAGGAGAACGGTTCCGTTCTGTGGACAGCGCTGGAATCTAAATGGCAGATCACTTTCGGGTCAACGATTCGCTGTGTCCTCGTCAGGGACGGCGGCACGAGAGGCTCGATCCAAATCGACTCGTGATCGATGCTTCCGAGAAAGGGAACCTCGCGATGCTCCACGGCGTCCCTTAAGGGCACCCTCCCGTCGGACCTGGAACGCGTCGCATCGTATTATTATTCTCATCCATGGTGCACGCCCTCGCGATAAACCTTGTTAGCGTTCAAACACGACCTCTGACATTAACCCCTCGCCGCGTACAGTAACTGTACAGTAACGGTAAATCTTCAAATGAAATTTCCAAACTTGAAGGAGAATCGAGAGCTTTGTTGATAGTAAAATTGTCGATAGTAAAATGGTACATGAGCTTAGCGGCGAAAGTAAATAGTACGCCAAGGGGTTAATAAGCTTCCTGGTAAGATCAGTAACATCACGGTTACGTCGGGCACCAAGAGGAGCAGCGAACGATACACGAAAAATACCATTTGAAAGAAACTCTTTGAGAAGGAGCACGCGGAAAAGGGCGTTATCGCGAGCAATAAAATAGAACCGACTGTTTCATTTGCTGGAGCGGAAGGCTGCTGGGCCCCTGAGGACGCGGCGCGTTGGAAGGCAGAGCCTCGACCGCGTCGCGCAGCGGGTATCTCCTCGAGCCGTATTCCTCGTGGGTGAGGGGTAAAGAGTTGTCGATCGTCGGCGGACTCTCGACGTTGCCCCTTTGAAACGGCGTCACCTCGATTAACTCGACGTCCGCCTCGTTCAGGGCCGGCTGCCACGGCGGCGGTGGCGGCAACAGCTCGTGGATCGGCTTCCGGTGAGATGGTCCTGCGGCCGACAGGCCTGCCAGGATCAGCACGAGCAGGACCGTCATCTACGGAAAGGAGAACTCGTCAGTTTCACCGAACGAACCTCTCCACTCGACCAGTTGCGCAACTTTTCCAATCTTTCAAATCGAGTGCACAATTCTCCGAGCACAATGCAACGATTCCATTGACGATTCACGATCGAGGCTTAGCGGACTAATTATGAATCGAAGGCAATCGTAACAGAATTGAACTGCCTGGAATTTCAAACCCGGTTGTATGTCGTTCTGCAAAAATACATAAATAAATAGATAGACGAATAAGGTATAATCGAGAGGAAGATTTTCGTAAATTAATCCAAGATCACGCGCGAGAGAGGTTCCAAGCTAATCGCGATTTAATCGGTCGATCGATTAGAATGCATATTAAGTGTTATCCAACAGCGATAGCGCATCAAATTCCAACAAGTGCGACAAGCGTCTGCAAAGGACGCCAAGATCCGCTGGTGTTATCAATCGATATCGCCGTACGCGGGAACGGCTTACACGCGGTACTGTCCGGACTCTGTAATCAGGCGGGGTAACATGTCGGACACGCCTGCTCGTAATGAAATTATAGAGCTTCGTAAGGTTGACACGAGCGCGAGCCGGCGGTGCGCGTTAAGCGCACGGATAATTAATTGTCGTTGGGCAGCTTTCGAGCTTGTCGCGCGCGACGAGCGACAATCGGGAAACCTGTCCTCCGCGCGGAGAACACGCCGCGCGTATGCACCCGCGGGGCCGGAAAAGAGAAGTGTGGGACGAGGCGTGCGTGTGCTCGGCGTGACAAGCAACCTCGGCCCCCGGTAATCGAACCCTGTCGAGCTCAATCGTAATATAATCGCCGGTCGCGCACACGTCTTTCGTCGATCGCCGCCGCGATAGCGCCGTTATAAATGCGCGATCGCGTTTCGCTCTTTCGGTACAATCGTGTACCGTTCGTCCGCGATTCCACCTAAGCCGACCGGTACGGATCGGTCTCGAAACGTTCGTGTACCCTATTCGACTACCTTTAACCCTTTCAACTCTGTAGGCTCGAATATTGCACCAGTTATAATACTAACTATTTTAACCAATCTTAAAATCCAAGTACTTTTAACCAATCTTAATATCAAAGTACATCCAAATTTTGTACTTTGTTATTTGTAAGGAAAATAAATGATCGAAGAAATGTTATAGGATTCCTCATTTTCGCTAGGAATAGTATAAAAACTAGTTATAGATAGATTACAAAACAACCCTTAGCGCTAAGGGTTAAACCTTCGTTTTCCAAGAGGCGAGTGAACGCGACTGTCGCGTAGGAGTACGGAGTCGATCGCAACGAAACGAGCATTGGCCTTCTTTTCCGATTAGCGAGGTGCTTCGAGAGGTTATCGGAGAATTGAAATGTTAACCCTTCGCGAGAGGCTCGACCCTCATGGTTCCTTCGAGCGAAGAATTTCCGATGCGAATTTCGACTCGCTTCTTCGACGATTCTCCGTATCTTTTCTCCATTTCCTTCGGAAAATCCTCTACTCCCGTGTCTCTGTCGAGCGACGGCTCAGCCCGAAACAAGGAAACGAGCTTCGACGCGCGTTCGATGCGAGTATTATAATCTCGTGTTTATGGAGCGCATCCGATATTGCGACGGTAGAGCAATCGTCTCCCGCCGTTGGAGCGAACCGAAGGCGTCGAGACGAAAAGAAATGGAAAAAGAAGAAGCTCCCCCTCTGCCGTGTGTCACGAGGCGCGGACCACTCATTTTCTCGGATGCGGCCTGGACCGCGCAGCCTTGGCGACGAGCCTCGTTTTCCACGGGAGCCGCGCGTTTGACGAAGAAGAGGACCCGAGAGCCGATATTTATGCGCATCGGCGCGCGCTGATTCACCGAGAAGACAAAGACTCGAGGACTACTTAAATCCTGCCGGTGGCGTTCGACGATTAAAAATGCTCGGTTCGTAGGCAGAAGCGGTGGACGCGACAAAGGACAGCCTCGTCGTTTCGTCCTCAGTTTCTGGCGGCCGCGGCCGCGACCGCGCCGCGGCGGACATACCAATGAGTAGCGCTGACACCTGTCATTCTCTTCGTAGAAGAATAGTAGCTACGGATATTCACGATTGAACGTATTCTTACCGTTAGCAATACCAAATAATTTGAATGAAATGAAAAGTAAATTGCTCGATACGAAGAAACAGGAATGTGCACGCGACAGTGGAGTTTCACTGGCAAAGTAAAATCTACGCTACTGGCTATCGCGACCATGCTCGTTCTTTTTTTACAGAGGTGTTTCTACGAAGCTAACGTATCCTCCGAGAATGTCCGAATCTTCCCGCTTGCTCGCTTTCCTCCCTCGAGGACCGTACAAACTATTCTCATTCCCGTTGCTATCGACGAGTTTCTGGTTCCTCGCAGTCTCTATATTACTATCGTTGTTGTTTACTAGAATTACTCTTATCGCGACCGTGGTCGTTATTGTTACGGCTCGAGAGACGCGCGGAAATCTGGCGTGGAAGCGATCTCGCGAGAACGCGAAAAGCGGAAAAGTAACCGCTCAGGTAAGGTATAAGAAAACGAGACTTGCCTCGACCGGTAAGCGGATGTTCTTCAGGCTAACGTGTCCGGGTCGTTGGTGGCGCGACACGAGTACCCGACTGATCGTCGTACGAAAACGGGACGAAGCGAAGCGGAGCGTAGTAGCGTCAATGGCACCGAATTCTGCTGTACTGAACGATGATTGAGAAACCGGGCATCGATCGGGCATCGATCGGACACTCTCCACCACCACCGGCTTCGGTTCCTCCTCGTGTGCTCGTGTTCCTCCTCCGCTTCGCGCGGCCGAGGACGGCCAAGGACCGAGACGAATGTCGAAGAGTAGTGCGCGACAACCACCCGCCTCGCGGGGATGGCCAACTTGCATGAATCTGGTATTCCGGACGTGCGAGGACGGCCATATATACCTACTCCGTCGGCCACGGACCCCTCAACCCGCATCCTACGCGGTGGACCCTCTCTCGCGCGACCTTGACCACGAACAAAACACGAGAATCATGCGCGTAAACCAATTCCCCTCGAGGTGAGGTCGCGGTGTCGACGCACGCCGCCTTCGAACCGATCTTTTGTAGACGCGATCGTGCACGCGATCGTGCACCCGAGCACTCGGCGCACGCTCCCGGGGTAATCCCGGGGTAATTCCGGGGGCGATGGCTTCGCGGCCGATTCTCGGATGGCACCGCCTCTCCGGACCGTTCTGTTCGTCGTCTAGATTTTATTACTCGAATATCTCCACTTCCATGCCCGTGCTCGTCGCCTAGGCGGACAGAAAGATCCTCGCGCCAGCGTTCGAGCAGGTTCGCAGGACGCTACGGGCAATCCCATATTCCGCCGCGGTTGATTGCGCCGTGCTGCGAGTCGCGGCGCACGCCTGAAGAAAGGACGATTATTCAAACAGAATTTTGATGAACGCGATGATTTACCGCAGCCTCGGGTATCGATGGTTACCATACATTAAATACTTGTTTATCCGCGCTCGTTTCCTACTCGACCGTGAGGTTATACTCGAAACAAATATGCCGAGCTCGAGCCTCGCGCGTCTCAAGGATAAATAGAAGATCTCCGTAACGTCTACGTCCCGGATAGATTATGCGGAGGATCCGTACGACTGCTTCGCCTTTGCCTTGGTAGTCTTAACCAGTTGCCGGACGAGTGTTCTTTAAAGTTGCGCTAAACCTTCGGCGGATAAAGCCGCGTTATGGATATATCGGACGCTGAAACAGTAGGGAGAACAAAAATGTCGGACAGTCGTTACGGGACGCTTGGCTTCTCCCTTCCAGCTGCAGCAACGACGCCTGGACAACGGAGCAGATCTATTCGATGCTCGACAATAACATTCCAGAGCTTCGACTCGTCGCGCGACTCTTCTGTAGGCTAAAAGTTCATCTCGCAACTGTCGTCGACGTCGCTTTCGAAATACCTAAAGCATCGAGTTTCGAATACTATTTTCCGGAGAAACCATCTTCCCCCGTGGTTCTGTCTTTTCGATGAGATTCTGAAAAACTTGAATGTTCATAAAGATCCGCAGCGGTCGGAAGGCTCGTTCCCGTTGGAAACGTTTACTCTACGAGAAGGCTCTACTTAAGATTCCACGGCGCGTTAGTATTTCGAATAAACTGCACGATCAGTTTGGCGAGACGACAGCAGGACGACGGCAGCGCGACAGCTGATGGTTCCGTGTCTCCTGTCCCGTGCAGCACCAAAGATGCCCTTCCGATTTTAATTTCTCGTGGCCAGCGTTCAAGGGCAGATGGGAACGGGTCTCGCCTGGAAAAATGAAAGATCGTGATTTGTTGGGACCGGCGATAAGCGTACGCGCGTACCCTCGTCCTCTGGTCGCGGGACGCGTCCTCGGGGTTGCGTCGAATTTACGAGAACCGGAGGCCCGCTCGCCCGGCGAATCCGCGGCTCGTATCGCGTATAATAACGCGACGCGAGGCGACGGCCCGGCTCGGTGTGCCACCTTAGATAATTAAGGGGATTGTATTTATTCATGAGACACCCACGCAGAGACGGGGAACGATACACGGGCAAAGATAGGCCCGGATATTCTCCGTGAACGCGCGAGAGAACGGAAGACGGGATTAAGGGAAAATAAAACAGAGGCCGGGTAGGGAGCGACCGGCGGATCAAGAGGTGGCGAGAAGAGCCGCGCGAACGCGAGGGGAGGCAGAGCCGACTCGAAATCTTTGGCGCCCTGGAATGGGACCCGTGCCTCGGGTCACTAACCAGTCGGCAGAAAAGCGGACCGGGTCCACCGGCGTGTCCTTGACTCGATCTCAACGCCTAGAACGAGATGCTATCGATGGTATACCACTAATCGTGAATGGTATAATGAAACTGTAATTATAAACTGTAGCCGACCGATTACGCTGGGTTTGTTCCTCTTTGGAAACGAACGCGGAAATTAGGAACGATTTCGAGATAGCTTTGTCTTCATCAGCCAAAAACGAATACGCGCGTGTACGTATTTCCATGTAAACCGTCCCACACGGGCGCGACTTACATGCGAGCGACACCTCCTCCTCGCCTCTCTCTTTCTCCCTGTAGCGCTCGACGTTCGGTCACCGGGATCGGTTAACGTATGCGTGACATAATGGAAAAAAAGCTACCTCGATCTCTGTGCCCGAATATCGTAACTTCGATTGACGATTGGTTCGCGTCGGCTCGCACGAGGATCCCGGGGACACGCTGTTCAAGGTACCACCGCGCGTAAATCAAACGGAGAACACGGGCCGCGAGCGCGTTGTGCTCGGACGCGTTAACCGACAAACGTTACCCCGGAATCGAAGTTTCGCCGGCCGAATTATCTGCCGCTCGGCCCGTGTTAATTGCTTTCTCGTGTCCGAGATTCCTCCTCGGTATTGAACGATCATCTCGGCTAATCCGGGCTGCGTCTTTCCTGGAAGATGTAGCTTCTTAGAAAATATATTAACCGCTTCTCTATATTGTTGGCGTTGTTACTATTATTGCCTCGAGAAATTTTCCAATTTTCAATTCCTTCGAATTTACTTTAATGGTAAATTGCTAGCAAGGTGGTTCGTTTTTACCTTTGATCCGTGTGCAACGAGCACCATTGATTTTTATTCGATTTACTCGATTCAAGCGAACGATCGACGTTCAACGATATCCTAAAAAATGTAACAATTCATTGAGAAACATTGTAACCGCTGAGAAGAGTAATATACCGGGTCTATATTTCAGGTGTAGAGGTATAGGACACGCGCGCCCATTAGAAGCTCGATTATGCATTCCGTTGTACTTATTCAAACGCTTTAACAGGTTCTAGGTACAGGAACAACTCATGCAACCAGTATCGAAACATTTGACTTCCCGATGCCAATGAACTTGGAAGACCATGTCGTCGATAATCCGTCCCGCCCCGTCCCGTCCCGTCCCTTCGAGAGGAGCCTGTCCGACGAACTGGATCTCCCGCTCGCGCCAATTCGGGGAACGAACAGAAAAAAAGCAATTAATCGCGTTTAGATTTGAATACCCGCCGGCTGGTCTGACATCCTGTTGTCGCCAGCCGAATTCCGTCTCTCTATCTCCTGTCTCTCGATCGAAAAAGACTTCTTCTTCGATGGCACGCGATACGTAGCCCGATACCTTTATAACCCGAGTCATATTCGACAATCGACCCGTTCCAGTCGAAAGGACGGCCTTCGGTCGCCATTTGATTCGACGTAGAAAAATGACGAAGCTTCGAATTCGTGTTTAAAAACGACGAGGCGACGAGTAGAGCATTCTAATGAAATAGTTCTGTCTCTGGAGTTGCGCGAGATATTGCCTCTTGTCGGTTGAACAAAATACCATTGATATTTCGACAAAAAATAATGGATAGTTGCAGTGGAAAATATCGTGGTATTAAATATTCTGGTATACGAAGAAAGGCTGGTTACGTTGTTAGAAGTCGCGTATCAGTGACGTAACCGCTTTCAATGTGTACGCTAAATTGCTCATGTTCGTTGTGTATACTTACGTTTTGAAACACGTAAGGATTTCAACTGGCGTTATTATCTAAAAAGCTTTCCTCAAACGCTTGTTCTTCTTGTTCTTCTTGTTCTTCTTCTTCTTCTTCTTCTCCTTCGTCTCCTTCTTCTCCTTCTTCTTCCTCTTTTTCTGTTCCTTTTGTCTGCAAAGTGGAAACAAGTCAATAAATCGACCGTTCGCAAGTTCAAGGCGAATCATCGGCATTCCCTAAAGTGTCTTATTTTTAGGAATCTACTGGTTCCTGGACATATACCTGGTACAGTACGATCGACCCTCAAACTTCTCGATGGAACGGGTCCCTGACTTCCGTCGGATTTTTCTTTTCCTTCCCTCGGCTGCAGGATGGGATCCTGAACATCGCCGTCCCGTTTATTCGAAACGGACTCGCTCGAGAAAATGCGGGAACCTTTGCAGACAATTTTTCTCGCGTCGCGAATAAATAATAATGGCAACACCGATAATAATACCATCGAGTAAACAATCAATTTATCCGTTCCATCCTGCTTCGTTTTAAATAAATCTGATTCGATTAATCTTTAATAAACATTATTTATTTATTTATTCATTTATTACAAATTCTTTAAATTCTTTAAATTCTTTAAATTCTTTAAATTCTTTAAATTCTTTAAATTCTTTATCAACGTTAACCCTTTGCACCCGGAAGTTTGTCACTAGAAATATTTCAACATTTTCCGATGAGATAAAATCGATATTTTTTGAAACTAAGCCGACGATAAATCACGCGTACATCGAGGAACGAAGCTATTTTATTTGAATATTTCTCAAAATGATGCATCATAGGAAATACAATACGAAATATCAAATTTCATAGTTTTACTGTACGAAACCAAATGACGAGTGAAAGTCACCTCTCGAGTGCAAAGGGTTAGATAAATGTTTCCTTGGAAGATGTTTCCAATAAGGAAAAACCATTTTCCAATTTTCTCGAGATTCCAAGAAATTAGACTCGTAGGATAAAATGGGTGAATATTCGCATGCATACTTGTGTACGCACGTGGTAATAGATATACGCATGGGTACTTAACGCGAGCGTGCATCATAGCGTAGATATGTTCGATCGTCGACGATCCATCCTTTCAACTTCTTATTCCGTCGTTAGCATGATTTCTCACGAAAATGATGTCATTCTCCTCTTTTTCGGCATCGTTGTGTTTTTTTCGGTTCTCGTACGACGCAGCCGGGTCCCCTGAAAGAAAGGTTAGCCGGAATCGTACCGATGGACGACGCATATCGGTTGCCGACTACCGACATGACACACGGTCCGCGTTCGGCCCAGAGTTTTCCTTTGATCGTTGGAAACGACTCGAATAACGAATTCAGTCGACGCTACCGGATAACGAGAAATCCACCGAGGATTCGTTAACGAGCGCGACGCAAGGCAAAGGACATTGTAAACAATCGTAAAGAATCGTAAACACGGCGCGGCTGTGTCGCCGATCACCTTGCGGGGGTGAATGCGCACATAAATTGAATACCTCCTTGTTATCACATCATTAACCGAAGAGCCGTGCCCCGTAAAACCGGACAACGTTTACGTTCCCGTACATGTCGCGTACCCAAGTATTCGCGAGTACCATAAGCAACGAGAAACCGTAGGAATGACGATCCTTCGGCTCTCCGCGTTTCCCGCCTTTCTCCGCCCGCCGTTTCGATAGGCGATACTCTCGAATCACGCGAAACGTATACGAATCGAATAAAAGAAGATCAAATACAAAGTGAAAATAACAGGGAAATTGGATAAAAGTATATCATTTCCAACAGCGATTCCGGTGGCAATTAACGTTAACGCGATTGCCATCTTACATGAAACTGATATACAAGAAAAAACTTATTCGTCGTTGACTTTAATTATCGATCGATGGTATCGGTAAATCGATCGAATAATCCGTTGAGAATGGCGCGTTTTATTAGGATATTTGAAACGATTGTTTTCAGGTCGACGATTATTCGAACGATTGCATACTAAAATTACGCGATCAAATAATGAAGTGTAACTTTGCAACTATCGTAATGACCTGACTAAAAATTGGAAAAATGAACCGGAAACTAGGAGAAGGAAGTAAGGATAAAGATAAGGTGGAAAGATTTAAATTAAGTAATAAATTACGTAATATCCACGTGCGCCGATTTATTGACTTGGAAAAGAAGAACGAAGGACTGCCGATCAATCGGAAATACTTTTGATCACTCGCATAGTTGGTATTTACGTAATACCGAGAAAAAAGTAATCTAAGAGGATGTTTCTTCGATATTTCCTCGGAGGGAAAACTGTCGCGAGCAGGCGTATCTGCCGTGAGCAGATTTCAACCCCCACGAGCGTTGTACCGGCGTATAAAAGTACCGCATCTTCGATACTGCTCAGGCACATCCAGCTTGCACATCCAACGGAACCAATCTACTGCAACTGTTCAGCCGATAGAAACAGGTAATCGAACAATTAAACTAAATAATAATGGAAAGACTAAAACTTGTAAGCGCAGCGTTCACGAAGTCGGGCAACAGAGCAATTTACATATTACTGTTTGTTAACGAAAAAGTACTAACGGCTGCAAATCGAATGTTTCAGTACACCGCAAACATGACTTCCACGAAGCACACGATCGTCCTGCTGGTCGCTATGTTGGTGATTATTCACGAGGCGTTTGGAGTACTCGAGGACACGGACAAAAACATTCTGGGGCTGAACTTACCCTACGGAGGAGGGCTGGTAAATAGATAAAATACCTGTCGACACATTCCATTCGGACAAAACAATTTTCTTGTATAATTGCATTTATAGGACAACGAACTACAGCTTGCGAGACGTTTGCTGCTGCCGCAACGTTTTTACTATCCTAAACGCAACTCCGAGCTAATCAACTCGCTCCTGGCCTTACCGAAGAACGTCAACAACGCTGGAAAATAAACATTGTCGTGAAACAACAATGCTTCGTCTTGTACGTTTTAAAAAAGATCTCTGGAGCTTGTAACGTATTGAGCTTAATAAATGTAAAAGTATAGGTAACTGTTGTACTCTTCCACGAATTCCTATCTGCGGCGACAAGTGTCATTGATATCCTAGATACCGCTCGAACGGAGCGAAGAATTTTCAGTGTTATCGATTTTCGACGATGCGATGCCTGAAAGAAGGTGAAATCTTAATGTGCGGCCAATGAACTGAATTTTCTATAAAATTGTCATACACTTTCTCCGTAGAATGTATGAGACCTTTTAATTCCTTATATTTCATCTTTAACGCATGTTATAACCAAAACGTTATATATATATATATATAAATGCGTCGTCAGATGCGTCGCCGTACAAAGTTTATTCGCCGTAAAAAAGAAGATAGTGTTTTGTTTCACTGATAGAACTTGCGGAGAACTAAAACTTCAAGTGGAAACCACCGCCAACGGGTGGTTGTCTTCCACCTTCCATGAGACCCATGTGGAAACCGGAATTACTTAAATCGGCTTCGTCGCCGTCGCCCAATTGTTTGTACTCTTTGCCACCGCTCGGTGGCTTGGGGGAAGCATTCGCCGTCCTAACTCCAAGCTCGGACTTTGCCGGCCACGTTGGGAACATTTGCGGATCGATCGGCAAAGGAGCTTCCGTGAAGTAGCCATGCTTCAGCGCATCTTCCGCCGTTATTCGTTGCTGAGGGTCGTACGTGAGAAACCTGGAAATACGTTGCCACAGTGAAACGAAACGTTTGTACGTTTATTTCCATCGAACGACAAAACAGCGAAACAACGAAGTAATCATACTTGTTCAACAATTCAATGCCCAAGTCGGACAGTGACAAACTAAAACGCTGCCTCAAGTTGTTTACAGGGTAATGAGCAAACGGGATCTTCTGCACCATCGGCAGCTTACTGTACCCTGGCCATATTCGATCGTTCGGCGTACCCAGTTCTTTGAATATTCTGTTTAACTGGTCGATCTCGGATTTGCCTGGAAACAGCGCTTCCATTCTTAGTAATTCCGCGAAGATACATCTGAAAGAAGACGTTGCTTTGTCAGTAGTAGTATTATCGGTGTTGGGAACAGTTCGCTCAATACTATTATTCAGTTTCACTTTTATATGCGTACCCCACAGACCACATGTCGACGGGTGTACTGTATTCCTTTCCGCTCAGAAGCAATTCGGGAGCTCTGTACCAAAGCGTTACGACGATCGGAGTATATTGTCTCAACGGTGAACCGTACTCTCGGGCTAAACCAAAATCACCAACCTTCAAGATGCCTCGATGACTCAACAGCAAATTCGATGTTTTCAAGTCTCGATGAAGTATCCAATTGTCGTGCAAGTGCGCGACTGCTCTCAACAATTGCTGCATAAGGCACTTGACTTCTCCTGCGAACAAAAGCATTCCTCTGCACTGCTGCTCCGACTTGTCGCCGAGTCGTTGAATAGGACGAACCTGGTATGAACACCTGCTTCTTCTGTTTCATTGTTTCCATTAGCGACTTTAAATCGTGCTCCACATAATCCATCACTATGAATATTTTATCCATGTTACTACCGACGACTATTTCTCGGACAGTCACGATATTCGGATGCTGTGCTTTCAACAGAGTATTTATCTCCCTGAGACTGGTGATTGGGAACCCTTCTTTCTCTTTCTCCATCTTCAAACGCTTCAGAGCAACGATCTCGTCCGTGCGTTTGTCGCGAGCTCTGTACACCACGCCGTATGTACCCTCCTCGATTCGGTTCAGACATTGGAATTCCTCGACGCTTCTGCAACCTACATTGCGATGAAAGGTTTATCGCGCGCACACTTGGAAGCATACCGAACAAATGCAGATCGGCAGCTGCTCGTTCGATTACCTTGAATCGCTGGCAAATAGGGAGGTAATTCGGGCTCTTCCTCCTTTTTCTCCTCTTCCTCGACGGTTTTCGACGCGCCGTTAGAGTCCACGTGTCCAGGTGATTCTCCGTCGGAATGATCGGACTTGGCTAGCCGGTCAACGGACAGAGGACTCGGATTATTGTAATCGGAACCGTCATTCGAATCGGCGTTCGAACCTTTATTCGAGTCGTTGGACTCGTCGTCGTCTTCGCTACTCGATTCGGACGAATCGGAAGAATGTCTCTCCGATGACCGTTCGCGAATACTCCTTTGCCCGTCGGACGAGTGCCTGGACCTGTAATCGAAAGATCAAACTCTGTTCCGCTGAATTTCATCCTAGAGATAAATCAACTTACTCCACCGACTTGGAACGAACTTCATCCGAATGAACTGGACTTGGACTTTCATCCGACAATTCGACAACGGAGGGATCTTGATTATTATCGGGACTCAAAGGTCGTTTCTCCCCCCTTTTCATTCGTCGCGCTTCCAATTCCATTCTAGAGACCTCTTTTCTTCTAGCCATTTCCCTGTCGGCTTCCAACAGTCTTTCCTTCCTGAGCTCTTGCTCGGTCATTTCTTTGGGATCCTTGGGCGGTATCGGGATTTCATTCATCTCCATTTCATCGGGTTCTTCGGAGACGATTTCCATCGCTTCGCGCAACTGCTTCTCCCTGTGCTCCTTCTCCCTTTCTACCTTTTCCCTGTCCCTGTCGCGAAGTCGATCGTGTTTGTGGGATCTCTTGTGTCGCTTCTCGCTTCTCTCGGTCCGTTCCAAAAGTTCATTTTCGGAATACTGCTCCTCTATCACTCTCATGTGCCTGTGCTCCTCCATGCGAATTTCACGACGTTCCCGAACGTCATCCGTGATAGTGCGAATATCACGGCGCTCCCTTACGTCCTCTATTCGTATCTCTCTGCGTTCACGAGAATGCAATTCCCGGGAATCGTCTATACGAATGTCGCGTCGAGTATCCCCCTTGTAATCCCTAATGTCCCTAGAATCTTCCCGCCTCTCTCTTCTCTTGTCGAGCAACCTGTAAATCAGACACCTTGATACAGAACAGAATAATGGTTTATCGTGTTTCATACGTATTTTGTGCGTCGCACCTTTCTCTTAAATCCTCTAAAACTCGATCACCTGTACTCCTCTCTTTCCTATCATGCCTCGATTCCCTCTCCCTATGACTCTCTAATCTCTCGAGTCTCTCTAATCGTTCTCTATCCCTTTTGGATCCCTCCGAACGTTCCGATCTTTCTAACAAATCTACGCCGTGTCTACGATGTCTATGTTTATCTCTATGTCTATCCTCCCCGCGATCGTGATGCCTAGACTTTCGTTCTTTCTCTTCCCTACGATCCCTCCTATCCCCGTGCTTATCTCTTCTTCTAGAGGAGTTAGATTTGTGATGCCTTACGATAGCCTGTGGCGGTTTTATATCCAAAGAATCTGCTGTATCTCCTCCATCCTCCTCTGAAAAACTTCAAGTATACTTTTCTCAAAACCACTAATGATTACACAATAATGTAAATTATATTATTATAAACACAAAAGAAATAAATATGAACGAACGAGTCATGGCTCGGTTAATATTAAGAAGAAGAAAAGGAAAAGAAGTGAAATATTGAAAAGTGTGTTGTAGATATAAGATTGCGAAAATCATAAGAAAATAAATATAATAAGGTTGACGAATATATTATGTATTTGGAGCTTGATTATACTAAGATTAAGGTTAGCAATGAAAATCGCGCATTACCTAAAGTCATCCATGTCTTTTGAAGGACTTTTCTTTATCTCTCCATCTTCGCTTTGGTTATCGATATCCATGTTAAGCCTGTTTTCGGACATGTTACGAACAAATGTATTCACTTTTGATTCATAAACCTCTGTGCATAATTATCAAAGAACAGGGAAGCGTAAACATTCGGTACGTTCACGATAATAGATTATACCTCATGAGTGAGATCGACTTCGATCATTATAACCACGACAACCGCGAGACCGCTTTTTCTTCAGGTTCCTTTTATTCACACTCTTACATTTATTCTTGACGTTTTATTCACAAGGACAGAAGGAAGAAGATTAAATAAAAATATCACGTTTCACTCATTTTTCGGTTTCTCTATCTGTCGCACAGCAGTAGCAGCCATTGGAAATTCAATTATCCAATCGGATGCCTGTTGTCATGAAAACAGGAAATAATATCTCTCTAGCTGGTTATTTTATAAAATAAACTATATTTTGGAAAAATATAATATAATAACAAGATAAAGAAAGATAGAAACGGGAATTATTCGATGTTCCAGCATCTCTTACATCTTTGTCGAAAGTCTATCACCTTTGTTTTCTTTAAAAAAGTTAAAATTGTAATTAAGAATTACTAGCCAGTTACTAGACACCTCTGAGTTATCAAACGTAAATCGTAAGAATTCGCTTTGTACAAAGAACATTGTGAATTTAAATGGTTCGCTACGACTGTACGCCACGTTACTGTTTTGTTAAAGAAATGATGTAATATAATAATAATAATAATAATAATAATAATAATAATAATAATAATAATAATAATAATAATAATAAAGTGCGATTTTATACGGCCAGTTTCCAAAGAGGTAACTTTTTTTATTTGCGAACTTTGAACCAGAAATTACTCATAGTACGTTTACAATGTTTAATTAATTGTAAAATAACATATTACAATGTTACGTAGAACGTAGAAATGTGATTAAAAATCGAACTGTTACGTAACCCATGATAAAAGTATAATAGATGTTTTACACATGAGAATTGGCCCACAGGCGGCACAATCATCCGTCAGAAATACGTGACAGCGAGAACTATGTTCTACGAACAAATCCGATTTCTGCGAGTTTGACAGATGATCAACTGTCAATTTCTAAACACTTAGAAGAGGTAACAATTCAAGGAGTAATTCACGATGGAAGCAGTACCGAGGTTGCCGATGATATCGTTTCAATTAAAAGTTAGCCCGGAAACAACTACGTTTGGACCAAAGCTAAAGCAGGTGCTAATGACATTTTGAAAGTATCACAATATATCGGTGAACGGTATATTGAAATTTCCTTGCATTTTTTATTATTCGCAACATTAAAACGCTACTCGAAGCTTTTTTACGATACAACGATGCAAATCCATATTAACTTCGCCGGTTAT